TTTAATCTTATTTTGTTAATTTTTTTTTTTAGTTATAATTTTTTTATCTCGAGACTACATTATAATAGTCTAAAATAAATTTTTTTAAATCTTGAAAAATAATATTTGTCTTGAGATCACGTAGATGATGTTTTTAACTTGCCGTCGAAGTTGAGTTTTGTCAAAACCGGTCGGATTTTATATATCTTGCGAGTAACACCTCGTCACGATGTTTTTATTCTTACGGAATGCGGTAGCGAGATCGCATTTTACGGCAATCTCGTAGTTCTCATGGTCCACCGGCACTAACGCGAAGTCACGACTCCGACCTCCCGGTATTGACGATAACCCTTCATATTTTTTTGCGAGCGTATCTTTTCGGTGGGCAAAAGTTGTAGCAGTTTTTTAGTATTAATCTAGTTTCGATAAATAGAAATAACAAGACGTACATTTTTTTTACGCAGTCAACTGGTCAGTCATTCACACGAGCATTAAATTGCTCACTCAGGCATAAGTGATAAATGATTAGCAATCAAGCATTTTGCAAAATAAATGAAAAAAAGACCGAAATAAAAAAATGGCTTTTTGCCAAACAAACAATTTATAGTTGAACTTTTATAAATAAGTGAAAGTTTCAAGATTGATGAAAGTGCGTGGAGATCGAGTACGTGAACGCAACTACGAATCACCGCGACAGGATGATTCTTTCGACTTGCAAGGGTGGAGTTTAACGGACCATTTATTTCCATTTCCTTCTAGCAAGCCAAGCGTAATCTTCTTGTATAATGGCTGCTCGCCATTTCGCGGACTTTGCATTCTTGCGAGAATATGTCTTTTAGAAATCGTCACGAGAGCTTTTCGCATGAATCGATATATTGTATGTACACTTTAACTATTTTGGAATTTTTTTTTTTATAACAATAGAAACCAATAAGTTTAAAAGTTAAATATTTTTGCGAATTAAACTTTTAAGATGCAAATTCTATTAGAAAACTATTTTTAAAATACAATTCCGATGGAGCTGTGGTAGTTAAAAGATTTTTGAAGCATGTTATTAAATAATTCAGTCTCTTTGCTTGTCTTTTTTTTCAATTTTTAACCATAATCAAATTACTTCGAATATTTTGGAGAATAAAATTACTGATTTATTTGTTTTAGCTGCATTAAAATGTGGATCTAAAACGAAACGATGTATCATCTCGCTTTGTTGATATTTCGTATTCATGAAAAAAGACATTACAGCGAAAAAAAACCGTCGCGATTGATTGATGAAATATCGCAGGTATAAAATCAAACTAATCTGTTACTATTACAAATTATATTTTTCGACGCTTTGAGATTTCGAAAAACATCACGACAAAACGTCCTCATGGTCATCTTTCATTTTTGCCAGATGACGTCAATAACACCGAGTAATAGTAGCGTCAAAACAGGAATATGCGAGCCGTCGCAAGTAGTATTAATGCCGGCTTGAGCGGCGGCGGGACTTCGTCGTCGGTCCATTCTCTTCGTTAAGCGAGCGCGACGTTTCGCTTTTGAGAGTCGTCCTTTTTCTGCTCTTCTCTTCTCTCTTATTTTTCGTCCTCACGTCGCTCGCTCGGCCGGCCGCAAACGATACGCTCGATAATAGGACAGCCGCGGTTCACCGGGCGATAATCCTGGTGGCGCATGAATAATTCAGGCGCAAAGTGCAGGAGTAAATTCGCCGTCTGTCTTCGTTTCGGCGAGCCGAGATAGCTCGCTGACCGCTCGCTCGCTCAGATCTCGCGGACTGACCTCACCTTAAACGCGAATTCAGTTTTCCACCGCCAGCCTGAACCGACACACACTGGCCACCGATGAATTATTCATTCGCGGGTTCACCACGAAAATCGCCGAGTCGTTACTCGGGCTTGACCTGTCCGAAATCTCTGTGCCCATTTCGGGCGCTCTTCGACATATGCATTTTCGATTACCAATAAATGATCAGACCGAAATATTTTTATCTATAAATTTTCAGTCCGAAAGCTGCAAAAAAATATTTTTTATTCAGGCTCGGTAGCTTCAAAATTTTGGTTTTAAAATGTCTTTGCTTATTGATTTATTTTGAGATAAATTGTAACAAAAATATGAAAGATTTTTAGCTATCTTGTATTCGCATTTATCCTTTGTATTTTGCGAATTTATTTGTTTCATGGTTATTTGAAACCGGCTTTCGCAAACAACACGATGAATAAATTCTCGTGAAGTACATTAGCTTCAGTTATCCATTTTGTGTGTTGTTATATTGATTCTAGCGAGGTAAAAGGTACGAATCATTTATTTGAGAAAGGGCACAAATTATTTTTCTTATTTTTTCTGCGAGACGTTGCAAATTTAATAATACTTTTTCATCCTATTCTATTTATTTAGTATCAACTCTTGTTTAATGTCGGAAAAAAAAGTGTTGAAAATAATTGATATCACAGTATTGAAATTTGAATACTCCGCTTTTCAATGCGAAATAACGATTTTCTACGACGCTTTTGTACACTTAAATATGGAAGAATCAATAACGTTGAAAATTCATAGATAGATATAACTTCGCTCACACATAAAAACGGCAATAATGCGCGCGCGCGGAGAAAAACCATTTCAACTAGATTTTCCACCTCTCAGCAGAATAAGAGTCGGACAATGGAAATGTCATCGTGCGCTTAACAGGATGACATCGCTGATATCCCTCTGACCTAAGTAATACACCCAGCATTTCATCAGGATACTTAATTAGCACTTGAGGAAAATATTTTCGAGCAAGCTTCGACGAGGGCAAACTCGCCGTCCGTCTTCATTAAATTTCTCGCGTTTTGCGCTTTTAATCGAATCGCCGCCGTTTAATACTTTTCCTCGGATTGACTCGATCTTTTTACCGTAAATTCAATTTTTGATGTTAAGCGCTGAATATCTCGACGAATATCGGATCACTGATAAATTAACATCATCGATCACATCCTACGATATTATTACAGATTGCAAACGCTAACCGATTGTTTTATGTCCGACTTTGCGTTGAAAATCGAAATATCCCCCATTCGCGAGACGAATCTATTTTCAAATGTGATTGGCAGCACGGTTCCTGATGAACCTTAATATATATGAACCCGTCAGGTATTACAGGAAATAGAATTTCCTGAATTAGATCCCCGATCTGTACAACGAATGGCAATTTAGCGTTTTAAAGTTAAGCCAGTTATCTCTATTCCAAGCATAGCGTATATAGTAATCACACGATTTTAGAATTGATGTAGGAAAAGAATTGATTTCAAAATAATCACCGCAATGATGACTCTCCTATTCTTTTACAAAATTTAATCAAAACTTAACATGTAAATAACAAAGTGTAACATTTAGTCAGATCACGCATTTGCTTGCTATAAATATTCTCACGAAAATGTCATTACGTTTTTAGCGCCAAACTAGATGAAGATTTCTAAAGTTATATGTAAAAGGTATTGAAAAATGTCAAACTTATCACATTTGTATAATTGAGTTAAGAACAATCTCAATTTTACAAGTCGTGGCTTTAACTTCTCCTGCCACGAGCTTTTAAGCACCTTTATTTTCCGTTTTTTTCAGCGATCACCTGAAAATTCATATGAAGACGCACGACACCCAGAAGCCTTACCAATGCACAGCTTGCTCGAGAGGCTACAACACAGCCGCAGCCCTGACGTCGCACATGCAATCGCATAAAAAGCATCACCAGTCATCTTCCCAGTCGGCCGGCGGCAAGCTTCAAGATGTTGACTACGGCAGACGAAGCGTTTCCTCGCATAGCACATCGTCGCCACCGGTGCCGTCGTCGCCGTCGCCGTCCCTGAATCTCAGTCTGAACTCGAAGAACGTCCTGAAGACGTCGCAGGGTACCGGCAGCGCTTCCACCACGCCCGTCCTCAGCTCACCTCTGAAGCTTACCTGCATGTACTGCACTCGGGACTCGTTCAACTGCATGCAGCAACTCCAGATGCACGTGCACACGATGCATCAGGCGATCCTGAGCGGCGCGGAGGGTCTGGCGCGACCCCCATCGCCGAGCAGAACGTTGAACGAGCAACAGGCGGCTGTCTGCCCACGCGACAAGCTGCTGGACCGTCAGAACGGCACGAAGGAGTCGCGGCCGGACCGGAAGTACTCCGAGGATCGAAACGGGAGACCCAGCGAACGGGACCACTACGAGAATGCGTTCACCTGCAATCAGTGCACCATGAAGTTCTCCACGCTAGCCTGCCTGCGCGATCATCTGCTCTCGATACACCGCCTCGACGCTTTCGGCGCGGCGATGATGATGTGCCCGCTGTGCGGCATTCCGTGCTCCTCGGCGCCCTCCTACGCCGAGCATTACGTTCTTCAGCACTGCGAGAATCGCCGACCGGCGCCGACGATAGATTACGGGGGGGAGGCGAAGTTGAACGGCGTTTACGACGGCACGGTGAGGGATTCCAGAGCGCCGCGGAGCAGAGACGCGCCGGAAGCGACCGATCTCACGAACAAGCATTCGACCAGGCCGACCGCGGACGTCGCTGGCGGCTACACCGCCAGTACGCTGCTGTGCGGCCAGTGCGGCGCCGCGCTCAAGGACTTCGAGTCCTTCCGCGAACATCTGGCGCGACATCTACAGGCCGATCATCGCGGACAGGAAGCGCCCAGCAGGCAGCATCCGTGTCCCAAGTGCGATGCCTTCTTCCCGGATCGCGAGGATATGTTGGCTCACCTGACCAAGCATTATCTAGGCCAGATTAGCAAAGAGTACACGTGTAACGCGTGCAAGAAGCTGTACCCGCATCCGGAGCAGCTTCAGAAGCACCTGCTGGACGTGCACGCCCATCATCTCTATCGTTGCGCCCTGTGCCGGGACACTTTCGACTCCAGGGTGGCGATACAGGTGCACTTTGCGGTGAAGCACAGCCAGGAATGCCGGGTCTATCGATGCAGCGCGTGCACCTTGTCCAACAATGAAAACTCGCCGCCGGTCTCGAATCCGGCATCCGGCGACGGCAGGACCTCCTTCAGAAGCGAAGCCGAGATGGCAGCCCACGTGCGCAATGTTCACGCACCTCCTCCCGTCGCTTCTCTAATGAACAGCAGCCCAGTGGCAGCCACGAGGAGTCCCGCCTCGACGCCTGGCGGCGGCATCGCGGCGCGCTGCGTCTTCTGCGGCTTCTGCTGCGGCTCGGAGCTCGAGCTGCAGCTTCATCTAGCGAGCCACTCGACCAATCTCTACAGGTGTCCTATCTGCAGAGAAGGCTTCCCGGTAGAGTTCCTGCTGGACCGACACGTCGCTCAGGCTCATCACGCGGTCCAGGATCATCAAGCGCCGTCCATCAGGAGCAACTCGAGGGAGAACGGCCGTCTTCATCGACCGATCAGAAATCAAGAAGAAGTAAGAATCTAGCATAGAAGAGAGAAAAAATTAATTGTTACAGATATATTTAAACTAGAGGCTTTTTACGCCCAAGTATATATGTTCTTTTATTTAATTTTTAAACTTTTAGTATTTTTATTATTATAAAAAAATTACCATATATAAATATTTATATTAATATTTGAATTTATTAATTTGGTATACAAGCTTTTATTTAAGAGATTAATCTATCTTTGAAGAGATTTTTAAATAATTTGACAAATTTGAGTTGTATATATATACTATACATAATATAAAACTATTAAATACATTAGATTATTTGAAACAATTTTTTTTAATCCCAGACGAAATCTCTGAAGAGAGGTCGCTCGCCAGCATCGAGCAACAATAATTCCCTGAATCAGCGCGATAACAACAACAAGCGTCCAAGCTATGGCACTTCTGGCCAGCAGTGCGAGCTGTGCGAGCGCGGCGAATTCGCGAACGAGGCGGAATTACAGGCGCACAAAAAACTCGCTCATACGTCCTCCAAGCTGTCCAGCAAGAGTTTATCCGCTTTGAGTATGACGTGTGCTTATTGCGGCGAGGTATGTCGTTCGCGAAGCGAGCTAGAGTCGCATACAAGGATCCAGCACGCATCTAACGAACCCGGCGGACGTCACAAGTGCAACGTCTGCGACGAGGTGTGCCCATCCGGCGTGAGCCTGGCCGAGCATAAGCTTCAGAAGCACTGCAAGATCCAGCTGAGTGACATGTGTGTGGTGTGTCGCGGCTCTCTAACCTCGGAGAACCAGTTCTTGGACCACGTGCAGAGACATAGTCTGGAGAGCGTGGATCCGCAACAGCGACTGGACAATTCGCTGCCGCACCTGCCAGCCCCGTGCGTCGTCTGCCGGCAGACGCTGATCAGCGATTTGGAGTGTCGTCTGCACGCGCGGCATCATCTACGAACGTCTTCGGGATCACGTAGCGCCGGTTCTAGCCCAACTAGTCCCGGCGGCAAAAGTCAGAGTCAGAGTCAGAGTTGCTGTCTCTGCCTGCGGGACTTCGCAGCGGAAGACTTTGTCAGCTTGCCTCCTAATCCTGCCAGCACAAGCGGACAGTCGGTCAAAGTGTGCAAATCCTGCTACGTACGACATTCTCAAGGTTTGCCTATCCTGAATTCGTCGGCTTATGAGCAACGAGCTAAATACGAGGCAACCTGGCTGATGAACAAAGATGGTCAATGGGACGCTTCCAAGGACAAGTGGGAGCACGAGAGAGGACTCAAGGTGGACGATCGAATCAGGAATGAAGGAAATGCAGAGAAGAAACGCTGCGAAGAGTGCGGTGTGAAGTTTGAAGATCCTGAAGAAGCGGAAAAGCACAGAATCACTGAACACGAGAAGGCTGGTGGTGGCGGCGGCGGCGGCGGCTCGAATACCTATACGTGTATACAATGCCAGGTTAGTATGAATTAATTAATAAATTTATTTTAGACGTTTTTAATACAACAACAAAAAAACAAAATGATATAAAATCCAATACAATAAATTTAGTAAATTGCTAGCAAAGCACAGATTTATTCACATATTTACAAATTAACATGAAAAAATCTTTGATAGATTGAATTCAATTCTCGCAAACTAAACATAAATTATTTACGAATAAATAATTACGAATAATAATTGTCATATAAAGCTTTGCTGTATTTTACAGTACAGTATGTTTTATATTTCACATAAGTATAAACATGTATACATCATGATAAAAGCATACATATATACTGAGCACAACTGAGCATAAACGTTTTCGCGAAGCACAGGAGATCCGGTTTTGTCGCATGTCGCTACGTCAATTTTTCAAGTTATAACATTTTATGCGTGCATACATTTACGCACGTTGCGTAACTATTACAATCAGCTGATCAGTAAGAGTAACACGTGTTCTGAGTCATTGAATGAAATTATAAAATACGTGGTTACATCACCGGTCAACTTCGGTTTAGATCGAGTCTAGCTCGGAATCATTCGAGTTATAATTGATAAAGAGTTACAGTGATCAATAGAACTGTCAATATTTTTGCATAGAACAGTTGCAGCAAAGAACAAATTTTATTCGAAACCTATGCCTACTTTCAACAATTCAGAATTATTGATCTTGGATAGATAGGATATTATCGCTTAATTATATATACGAAAATAAAATTAATTCTTTCAGTATGACAGCATAAAAACGTAAAACAGTTGCTGTAAGAGTTTTCTATTTTAAAGCAAAACATTTTACAATTTTCCTGTTTACAACTATAATATTAAAATTATGCACATTATTTAGTTTCTATTAAAAAATAGAAATTTATGGCATTCTATTTTTTTATGCTTCAAAATTAGACACCAAAATTGCTTTTAAAATGATATTTTTCAATGTAAATTAAGGGAAAAAATTGATATTCTTAGATGTCGTTCCCAACTGAAGCTAAGATTCAACAACATGTAAGGAAAGAGCATCTAGATGCATCTGGAAAAGCCTCCTTAGAGGCTTTACGGTGTCACTTGTGCTTATTCGAAGCAGGTAGCCCTATGCAGCTGCAAATCCACTTGATAGAGCACACTTTCGCCGGATGCGCTGCTCTTAGTTGTTACATCTGCCAGTCGCTCTTTACCACCCCTGTTGGCCTTCAGGTAATTGAACGGTCCACTCATTTGTCTCAAATGTAAAATAGTGATTATTCACTCATAATTACAATAATAGCAAAACAATATAAATTTGTAAAGAGAAATTAAAAATTTTAAAAACAAGTTCAAAACAATTTTCATTAAAATGAAATAATCTGTTACGAACATTGCTTTTCGAATAAAAATTTGGTTCAATTGCTGTTTTGCATCAATAAAGTTTAGGTCTATAGTTTAACAGGATATTGGCTTGTTGCTGCGAAATTTTATATGTTTAATAAACTCATTTTACTTCATACTTTTTACTTAAATCAGTCTTTCATATTGCACACACAATTAAACTGAATAAACCAAAAATACTAAAATTTATTATTTTACTTTTCTTTTGTTTCTCTAATTATATTTTTATCCAGAAAATACTTTCTGCAATAATTTCACAAGAAATGTCACTCACTAATACGTTTATTTACAGAATCATATGCTGCAAGAGCACGGCCTAGGCGCACGACCATACGATTGTTCCAAATGCACGCTCAAGTTCTTCTTCAGGGCAGAACTGGATCACCACATGCTAACTTTTCATCGTCCGGGGGAGGAGGTTCATTCTTCACTGACCGAAAACACACGTGAAACAAAGAATCACGAACTCGAAGAGCGCAACTGCGATGGCGGTGTGATAGTAAAGGAGGAAGTGATACAAGGCGGTGAGGAAGAAGAAGAGGAAGTGAATGTGGATGATCAGGTGGGGCAGGAGGAACAAGAGGAAGCTCGACCGGAGGAGCAGAAGCTGAAGACGGAAGTAGAAAACGAAACGGCATCCGACAAGATGCAATCGTGACTTTCTTCCAAGATCACATTTTATTCCAAACTAGAATTAATTGATTATTAGAAATTTGTTGGTCAATTATTAAGTTTGTTCTTTAAAAATGACATTAACTAATACCAATAATTACGAACTTCGCAAAGCGTTGCGCAATGATACCCAAATGGTACAAAATTCGAAAAGGCAGTTGGATGAGGTCTAAGGAATTAAGGTATCTTTCAGACGACTTTACGAAATTGACATCGATTTTTTAAACATCGATTTACGAACAGTGCTGATGCAGTTCGATACAGTATTAATTAAAAGTATCATTGAAAAAGATTGTCGTTCATAAATATTCCAGATAGTTAGTTTTTTACATATTGATGATAAAACTTCTATATAAGATTGCGTCTCTCTCAGACAGAAGAGAAAAAGAAATATCGTTAGGATATCCTGTGAGATGTTTTACTTATCTTCAAGTCATATACTTATGTTTTACTTATCTTCAAGTTCAATATCTTCAAGTTCAATATCTTCAAGTTATTTCACATTTAGAAATCGAATGTTTCTATTTTCATGCAACGTAAATTCATGTCATTTTGAGGCATATTTTGTATTAATTTTTTCGCGCAAATATATTTTTTTCTGATTAAAAAATGCATCCTGATCGTTTTTCTGGCTTTTTGGACAATTGACAGCGAATGCGTCAACGTTCTATTTGGCTGTTCTATCGAAGTTTGCCTGACTGAAGTTCATGAAAAAAAATTGTTAATTATGTTACATATGTTAGTATGTAAAGCTCGAAAATTTAAAGGTTGATGCGAATTGAATCGTAGATGCGCAAAGAAATTTTATTTGAAACTTGTTTATGAACGCGGGACGTTTCGAAATCATTTTTACTCGTGATTCTTAGAGAATCTCTAAATGAAAAAATTTCGGGTATGGTTAATTAAATCAGAGAAATCGAATATAGGAAAAAAATTTGAAGTTAAATGTATACTTTATTTCTATAATTATATAACATTCAAACATTATTTTCATAATGTTAAATTTTTGTGTTGATATATTTAATTTTCAATTCTTTATTTTTTATTAGTTTTTAAGTTGCACTCGATTGATGAAACACAATTTCTCAATGATTAATTGCAATCGATCTGTTATAATTGTTTGCAAGTGGTGAACTCAATAACGATCTCTATCTTTATCGCAAACTAAATCTGTAAATATTACACACAAATAACAGGGAAAAATATCATAAATATTCTATCAATTTATATTAAGCACATAAATAATGAAGTTATTGGTATTTAAAAGAAGATGCAATAACTTGTCCACTAGGTATAGTGATAAGATAGTTCTATACGAAATAAATTATTGTTTCAAAATCGTATGTATTGTATATAATGATTTGTCCATTAAGCATATAACCATCTAATAAGATAATATATATGAATAAATTATTGTTCTAAGTGTTGGGTTGGTCGTTCTGACTACCTCCTTTTTGAAAATATTTTATGTTGTCAATTATTTTTAGTAAAATAAATGATGAATGACGAGTAAATTTTTGTAATCAAATATTTTCTATTTAAACAAAATAAAGCACCTTATTTTAAACTTTACAATTTCTATGTACAATGAAATAAATATCAACACATACTTCCCGTTTTTATCAATGATTGCAAAGGAAATTATCTTTTTTATCGACTATCGCAAAGGAGAATATCAAAACCGATAAATGACGAAAGAAAAGTAATATAAATGCCTCATTGATGGCGCTAGCAGTATTTGCCTGCGTTGACCTGCGCAGAAGAGGCGTTTCTTCATCATGTACGTTAGATTTCATTCAGCTGTTGCCTGGATGCGTGACTTCGTGTGCTTCGTATACAGTGCAATATAGTGGTATACAGCGCGTACGTGTTGGTACGTGCGGCATTCGTGTCGCAGAGGCGGTGGTAAGCGAAAAACAACCCCGAGTCGTGATAAACCCGATATCTTTCCGACAACCTCGCTGACGAAGCCTCACGACAACCGGCACGATGACGGGATTCACAGAGAGTGCCCTGGTCAAACGGCTGATGGATCTAAATCCGTCGCAGCAGAGCATCCAGACGCTTTCACTCTGGCTTATACATCACAGAAAACATCACCCGACCATCGTGAAGATCTGGTTCAAAGAAATGTGCAAAGGTATGATTTTTTTTTTAAATTTTTCATTGTTCTGCTGCAGCGTCGAGACGGAGATTCCGTTCGATTACACAGAAGAATGTTCCGAGAAGAAGTCATTGAGGTTATTTATCGCTTGGAATAAATGTCAGCAAAATTTCTAGGTTATAAGATTGCGCTACGTAACACAGATTGCGACAAACGTGATCGTCGATCATGTCGTCTCGTAGCTTAAAAAATTATACGTTTGTTTTTATTACTACTTCTACTAACACGTAAACGCATAGTATGATGTAAGAATTTTGGAGTAATAATATCGAGCCACGTTGTCTAAGAATGAATGCATTGCTTGCATTGCTTATTTATTTTTAACTTCTTAAAATACTAATAAAAGAAAAATATATTACAAAATGAATAATAACACGTATTAATTATTATATTTTAATAATTATATTTAAACAATTTTTTTTTTTCGAAAATATTGAACGCTCCTCTATCGTCATTTTTTTGTCAAATAAAACAATGGCAAATTTATTTATTTTATTTATGATACTAATATTAATAGAAGCAGATAATAGCTGTGTATTTAAATATTCTAAAATGCAAATTTACAAGCAGACATGAATGATTTTTTGCATAATCATCATTATTCACAGAATTATTATAATTTTCTTGTGACATTGGTGTTTTCAATATGAGAGATATTATTTCAGTGTGAACTTAATATTTTCTGCATAAATTTTTACAGTGAAGGACAATCGCAAGTTGATGTTTATGTATCTGGCTAATGATGTCATCCAAAATAGCAAGAAGAAAGGACCGGAGTTTGGAAAGGAATTTGAATCAGTTTTACCAAAAGCTTTTGAGCATATGAAGGGTTTTGATGAAAAGACGAGGGAACGATTAAATAGGTTACTACAAATCTGGGAAGAAAGAGGAGTTTATGACAAAGCACAGATAGCCGAGTTTAAAGCAGCTTTTGCACAATCCGAGAAGGATATTGTGGCACCACCAAAAAAGAAAGCTAAAATTGAAATTGAGAAAGTGAAGGTATGTATTTTTCTTAAATTATACTAAAAACTTCTATATAATTGAAATTTTTATTTAAAAATAATATAACTACATTTCAACAGCATGATCTATATAAAAGCAACAAAGTTTATGTAACATTTACAACACAAGTTATTTCACATATAGCGGTGCTTTTATATTTAGAATAATTTATAAACTATTCAATTTGCACTGATTTAATTATGATAAATAAATGAAACGCGCAAAATCCACATATGTTTGTCGCATTTGCAGAAGGAGAAGAAGGAGAGGAAAAAATCTGAGACTGAAGTAGTGGAAGTGGACGGTACCAAAGAGCTCCATGTGACGTTGAGCCCACGGACTCCCGCTGGCGATCCACCGGAAACCGAGGAACTCATCAAGGCTTTAATGGTTAATATCAATTATAAGAACAAACACGATGCGGAATTTGTAACAATAGCAATAAAATATTTTATCCATATGAAAATACATGTTGAATCCATAAGGCATATCAGCAGATACTTTATGACAATTCTGACATATTTTACCCTATCGATTTTATTATTTGTTTTATTTGGCTGTGTTGATGCTTACTTTTTTTCACTTCAAATAAAATTTACATGTGTACATTTCTTTAATTTTTTCATATAAATTTGTTTTCTACGAGGCAAATCAAGTGGATTTAATATTTGATATCGTTGCTCTGTTTCGATACGCAGAATATTGAACTCACTTTTCTCAATGTATTAGATTCGATTAATCAATTTATGTTACATCGAACGCAATGATGTTATGTTGATGCGTAAATTTGTTAAAAGATCTGAAATATTGTTCTGGACTATTGGTCTAATAAAGTTTTCTGCTTTTCAGGATCTGGAAAATACCGCGTCCTCAGACGCCAATATCAGAGAACGTATTGCATCCTTACCACCGGAAGTCTCAGAAGTTTCGTTGCTCGCGAATCTCGCCGATCGAACAGCCGCGGATCAGTTGAGTGCCGCGGTAAACGAGGCTGCCACGCTCTTGGCGGATTACAATGGACGGTTGCAGGCTGAGATGGAGGATAGGAGAAGACTTCTAACAATGCTGCGCGATTACACTTTGGCACAAAGGCAGTTACTTCAGCAGGCACAAAGCACTTTAGAAGTACGATTTATTCACTCCCTACTAATATCTTCACGATACAAATGTAACACAAACAATAGTACAATAATGCAAGATTTATTAAAAATTATAATAAAACTTAGCACAGCATTTCTTTACTAACGCATTGACACAGTGCATTTATTAGCATTTATGAAAAAAAATATACTTACAAAGTGAGCCCTATAAGATAGGAATTTGTTTAAATTGTATTAATATTATAGGAATGCAAATTTTAAATGTTACATGTTATATTATACTATTGTTTTTTTTTTATACAGGACTATAAAGAAAAGCTCAAGAAGGTGTGTGCGGTCCGGTCAGAGGTAAAGTCTCACATCTCGAATCTTCCCGATTTAACACAACTGCCCGACGTGACTGGCGGTCTGGCACCTCTTCCTTCCGCTGGCGATCTGTTTTCCATGCATTAGTGTAAGCTGGCTTGGACGAGCGTTTATAGTATATTATTTTAGTTTGCGCGGATATAGAATTTTCGAGGTCCATGGTACAATAGATTTGTAAGACGACGATGAGAAATAGTTATCAATGATTAACTTTGTACTGTGGCATATTTGATAAATTCGATTAATGAAACTTCCTATGTATGTTCAGTGAAGTACAAAACGGTGAAGTACTAATGGACGAAACAAGGTTAAAGTATTGCAGCTCATGAAGAGGACATAATGAATATAAGAATGATAAAGATACAAGACCTAGAAAAACACATCGTAACTCTCGGTTTTGTACTTTAAGTGATAAACCGCCTAACTCCGTGTTGAGTTTTAGCGAAAGGATATCATACCTAAGCAGGCTGAAAATTTTATTTCTACGAGATAAATCGCGAAAGGGAATCCTATATGTTTTAGCAACGTGAAAAAGAACAATGTTCCTGAACACAATGTTGCGATACCCGAATTATTCGAAAAGATCGCATAAAATTTCCATATGAATTTGGTATATAATTATTAAATAATTATTAAATAGATCTTGGATTGACTATGTAATACGTAGATTATTAAGAAAAAGACTCAGAACTTAAATGAAATCAAAGTAAACAAAATTAAATAAAGTTTTTTTTTTGTTTGACAGCTATTATTTACTCTTTAAATTCTGAGTCTTTTTCTCTAATATCTACACGTATACATACAAAGAGCTGTGCATGCATCGAATCTGTATAGTCGCGAAATACATGAAACCATAGAGAAAGACTTCCGAATGATAAATCAGCGTAAGAAATACAACGTATATGATAAAAGCGAATGAAATTTGTGTAACTGATGAGCTAGCTCTCTCAAGAAGAAGACAGAAGCTTTTTGCTAAATTGACAAGATAATCTACACACAACATTTAAAAAATGATTAAAATTTGCAAAGCGCATCAGATTATCTTTGTACAATTATTAAAGACATCTGATACGTATTTTTCAATTGCGCAATCATTGTTCATCAGCGATATATAGAGATAACACTCTCTAAGGTCGGATAACCCTTACTTGTACATATTATATACTGTAATCTAGTATGATTTCAGAACTGACAAAAAGAGCTCTTCGTGAATATTCGACTGTGAATGAACGGTAGTACGTTTAGATTATAATAGTGTATATGTAACTATTTTAAAAAGACAAATCGCATAATGTGCATTAAAAAAGGAAAAAAAAAGATTGTAATATGCCGAATATTATTATGAATAAATGTTTTGATCGTTATATATATCCTGACTTTAATTATTACATCCTGTGCAAGTGATACAAATATTTACAAGTAATTTCGGAAATTGAAAAAATCGACATTTATGAGAAATTGTAACTGCCAGTCTAATTTTTAAATTCTATGTTCCATTAACGCATTGACCATTTTATCAATAGTCAAAGTCAAAAAAGACAACATTGAATCTAAAAATATAGGTAGAGATGATTATAGAAAGAATTTCCGGCTTCCACGTGGGCTCGAAATGGTCGGTATTGGATGAGCAGTTATTAGGATCATAGAAAACACAAAAGGCAGTAAAAGTGACCGATGATGCGTGCCACTTGAGATTATATAAGGCCACTTCTTGCATTTTCTGTAATCCTAATACCTGATACCGACGATTTCAGGCTCCGATGCCAGGATTCGAACCACAAGCCACATGCAACCGTAATGGAGGGGATAACTTTGATTAGGCTGGCAATTACAATTTTTCTTTATAAATCTCGATTTTTTAGTTTACAAAATTACTTATAAATGTCCGTAGCACTTGGGATCATGGGATGTGCTGATCGAAGTTAAAATATATTTATATATTTGTTGTGTAACATTATCATATATGCCACTAAATAGTTTATATATTTCTGTCTTTTTCAACAACATGATCGTCAGATTGTTTCTTCTTTATTTCCTTCTTTTTTTACAATTAAAAAAATATTAATAAGTAAAAGTTTAATTTTATAATCAATAATCAAATATTCTTATTACATACATATATAATCACAAATCTAAATTACAAATACATCACTAGAAAATAAATTTTAATATCCGAACACTGCAGTTTGAGCTATAATTGTCTTTCCAGATATTGTTATTCAAATTTATCACACCTTTCTATTTTTACTATGCTCCAATTTGTACATTGCATCGTCATATAATCTACACAGACATAAAATTAATATGTTTAATACGTTAATGTTTAATAAAATTAAACATATTAAGAATATAATGTAAAAATATATATAAATGATGTGTGACTTAATTAAAGTATTACATATCTTACACACTATCATATACACATATATTATACACATATTCAAGCACGTAAGTTTTATGTACATTGTAAAGGATCATTTGTACATGATTTATATAGAATTCATAAGCCTTAAAGTACAGGACTCTAAACTTTTCATTCATGATTTGTCGCAATATATCTCATTGCACACAAAAATTCAACATTTCATATTTATATTAATTACAGCTACAAATACTTTAAGTCTCATGAGGATGTGGAGGTCTTGTGGGCTTCAAAATCAACTTTCCAGTATCGTCACAGCTCATATTAAAATCGCCAAGCACACTTCTTGCCCGCTGAGTTATAATGCTGGGAGCTATCACTCGTCTATGTACACCCATCATAAATAATATCACTGCAAAGCAATTCATTAACATAATGAAAATAAAATTATATAAAATATCATCTTATAATAAAAATGATTATATAAAATTTATCGTTTTTGCACCTACCTAATATTACACTAGCCATTGTGAAGAATGGATGATTATATAAGCTCTGCGTGAAGGATACTGCTGATGTGTTGGGATCAGTTAGCCAATGCCAAGCGCCAACAGCAGTACATATAGAGATCAAGCCCAATAACACTGTACAAAAATTAGAGTATATATTGTTGAAACAATATGTCAAATAAAATGACAAAAAAATTTAATAAACTCTTGATAAAACAATTCAGTGAATACAAGTAAAATGCTCGTGATTTGCGTGCATAAGACAGTTAAATATTGTAAAAAAATTATGAGACAGTAATATTCAAAGAATATTTGTATCGTAATAACTTATAAATATGCATTGCTATCAGCTTCTGTGAAATAAGAACTGCTGTAGGCGTATAACAAAATTAAAGCACTTACTTCTCCATCGCGTGGTGGCTGGTTGTAAACTAGCGATAACTTCGGTGAGCCGTCTTTCGAAAGCTTTTAAATCTGAAAATACAAAAAGCAGAAAATTAACCTCAAAACCGGTAACTTACAATTTATTCGCCTAAGCACCAATATGATTTATATTGATGACAATCAGCTAAATGTTCTTTCTTAATTAATACGAGAAAAAAGTTAAGATTAATTAGTGCAAGCTGTCTGTGCAACTACATGTTTACATGCCCGCTAATGTTGAATTTTGAAATAACGTCTGTTATTGTTTTAACAGGCATTTTTTACCTTCGCATACTGTTTGGTCCAGCGACATAACTATCAGCGACAGATCAATATGTTCGTATCGAAGAAAAAATTAGAGAAAATGCATACAACGATAGACAACAATTGATAGAAAAACAACAATAAACAACGTTCGAAGAGATAATTTCGTGACAGCGCCGCGGCGGATGAGATGCATGAAACTAAAGCGGTTTCTCCTAAAGACTTGTTGGCAATACAGTTTCCTAACGCACTTATATTTATTTTATAAAAAGTATTTTTTTTCCATTTTATTTTTTATCGAAAAAGTATCCAATTTTTATTTTATTCTTTTTTTAATGTAGTACTTTTAAATTTTACATAGTAGTAAATAAATTTGTTTTAATTATTTTTCGAAAAGTATATTTTTATTATATTTTTATCATTCAACAAATACTTAATATACTTTTTAACTTTCCTTTTTAAATCATTTTAATCTCCACTTATTTCGCAAAAAGCGTTTCGCAAAGAACATTTTGCAAATGTTCGCCACGCGATGATCTGCCGCATGTCGGCGATTAGCAGAAACTTATAACGCCATTGTCGCACATCACGCGCGCAAATGTGATCTCTGACCGCGAAAATGGAGGCAGTGGAGGTCATTATCCCTTATCGTTACGGTCAATATTATCGACCCTGAGGACACGGTGCAAGGGAACACGACTCGCGACCGACTCCGCGCATGATAGTTCCTATGGAAACTTGCGATCGAATCGCGACACCCGCTGGTGTCTGCTTCTTCAGCGTCGTAAGGGCATATGTTCCGTCGTGCCAGGTTAACCTGAGGTACGTCTACGCCCGACCCCCTACCGCAGTCTCACAAATATTGATACGACGAGAAGTCGCGGAACCGGAGAACCGTGCCGGAAGACTGTCGCGGAACTTTGCTTTCGGAATTTCGAATTAATTTCAATCAGCAGGGAATTGGTGCATCTTTTGTTTGCAATTTTGCTCTTAAAATTTTAAACAATGAGAAACTATTTGGGAGGGAGTTGGTTGACATTCACAACTAGGTCGCAGTCATTACGGGAATTTCCGATTAATTGAAGGATACGAAAGAATATTATTTTAACAATGTATTTCAAAATTTTATTAAAATCTAAAAGAGTAGGCAACATAATCATATTGAAAATATTAAAAGATAATTGAAGGATTTTGGAAAATATTTATAATCTACTGAAAAAGGTCGAGGAATGGGGTTCATAAATAAAAATCAGTTTATTTTGAAAATATTAATCAAATTATAAGTAATAGAAGTTAGACATTTAATAATAAAATTGTCAATGACAGAATTTCTAGAAGATAACATTTAAATGACAATTAAATATCTAACAATATCTTGATTGAAAATTTTTAAACTGTTGCAACAATAGAAATTAATGACAAATCTTTAAACTTCACGTTAAGAAAACAGCCTTTAATATCATGCTACAGTTTTGCAAGATAAAATTGATATCTGAAATGTACGAACGATTTAATAAAAACAATTGGGTGATATGAAGTGTTCGATGTTATTGACGTTACTGGTGGGAATTTCCGCTGACAATCGCTGATTCCCAAATAGGTAGGCAATCGAAAATGACAATGGTTTTTATGGGGAAGGGTTTAGTTTAGAATTTTTTTTACATTTTTCGATCTATCCTTGCTGTCGCGCGTATTGATTACATCTTTCCGCGAGAATCGCGTGCGAGAATGACCGGAAGAACATCACTGGTGGAACAGAAGAGGCTCCAGTGGGCAAAAGAAAGAGGTAGCTAAATTAACAGTCAGTAATTAAGTTGTATAATGCATTTTACTGTAAATTTATCGAATCGGTAATCTTAAAATTATAGCACAAAAAGCATCACAGTTTATATTATTTATATCATTCATATTATTTTATATTATTATTACATTGCAACACATTTTTATACATAAAATAAAAAAGTATTTATGAAGTTCTTCTCATTGATTATAGAGGAAATGACTCGTCTTGGAATTAATTGGGGACCTATGAAACCAATTAGCTATAACCGCACTCATATTCGGTAAGTTTTATAAAGTGCCACAAAATATGTTACATTGTTATCAATATATGATTGTGATAATATATAATTAAACGTTGATTTTAGATAATATTAAAAAAATTAGATATATTGGAAAATATATAGTTAACACTTGTTAATTGTTTAATTTATTATAAGATTTAAATTTCCTGTTTTTGATGACATTTAAAAATCTATGAACAGCACTTACTCGAATGAGACCAGATTGTCCTTGGGTGAAATAAAGGATAAAGTTTCCGCGCAACCTTTTCGTGCCGTCGGGCATTACGGAAGCACCGTCAGTCTAAAAAGTCTGGCAACAGAAAGTTCCGGAAGTGGAAACAGTAATTTTAAGTGCCTCGACTATAATAACGGCAGTTTAATAAATCTCCGGGATCAGGCAGACGAATCACAAATGAGACGCAGAAGCCCCAGCTTACCACCGATTTTTAATAAGGAGCAACAGCAGTACTTCTCTCAATTGGTATGTGTTTTGTTGCTTCGCTAAATTATAGTAAATAATATATAAATATTAAATAAGGAAAACTAGAAATATAGATTGCCAACTTTGAATTAAATATTCTATGAATAGCTCTGAAAAAATAAATTTATAAATAACTGAATTACTTGTTTATTTCAAATATTAATCTAGAATAATTCTAGATACTTTTTACAATACGCATGAATTTTTCATTGATATTTGATTGAAATAAATATAGTTCTATCTTTTATCGTAAAATTTTTTTCGACATTAATTTTTTTTAGACCATTAATAACTTTATTACGCTCAACATAGGGTTTTGTTACGAAAAAAAGCTCGAGAATATTGCGCGCGTTATCGTAACTCGAATAATTGATCGTTACCGCAAACCTACTTGCGTGTGACAATTAATGTGCGACGAATGAATGCGTGCGACGGCACATAGTTAGAATAATCGAACAATTAAATAATACAGATTTGTTTTTTTGTATTAATCAAACACTGTGTTAATATAAAATTGTAAGAACATTTTGTAACAACTTTATCAAAATATTAGTTTATTTTTCGAAAGTCTACGAAATTAACGATCATATCTAATCATAGTTTTATAAGGCACAGGCGACATTCGATAGTACATTGCCCTTTGGGAAGGGAACGCAAAAGTAAGGCAGTCCGGCAAATCGATTCTTATCGCGCGATTAGAGTTCAACGACCTCAAGACTGTACACTTTGCTTTCAAACTTAAGAATGGCGAGCGGACATCAAACTCACCCCTTAGTCCTACGACATAACATCGATTATTATGAAGAACGAGTCGTAGTACAGATTGTACGAACCCGATTTTACCGCGGTTGTTGTCCTACAAATTATTCTATGCTTAAACTAAATTGTTCCATAATTAAAGAATTCAGTGTGGAAATAGTCTATAAAAAAGAAATTAATATGAACATTGCGCAAAATCTACATTTTTGAAGCTCTAATTAGAATAACAGGAAAGAAATTAATATAGAAATTATATTTTAAGATTTACATAATTCTAGAATTTAATAGTTTCCCATCTTGAATTATCTTAAAGGGGAAACTAAACTCACAATCAGATTAATTTCTCAAAAGATAGATATCGAGTTCTTTAATTATATAATTATTTTAATTTATTATTATTATAACTTTAAATTAATTATTAAGCTTTTGCACAAAAAATTGTATATATATGTATTTATTCAATCTTATAAAAAACCATTACTACGCAACCGTCTATTATAGTTCCATTATGTAAGTAGGTAAAATAAGATTCAGATTGTGCATGATTTATGTGGCACCCCGACATCTCCGGCCGGCACGACAATAATAATAATCTGCCACATTCAAATGCTATAGATATAGAACACGAAGGTACACTCCTTCCATAAACCTTCCGTGAAAATTGGAACTCTCGCCCTCAATCACGCAAGCAAGCACATTTCCCTTCCGCTTCCTGAAGTTTTATCGTTATCGCCTTGTGTTGCAGGAACAACAGCGTGACTTCGGCGTAGAAGGATCGCGATACCAATCGGAAAAATCGCAAAAACTGGGACATTATCATCGCCGGTCCAACGAGAATCGAGAGAGCCAGAAGGAGCTTCATCATTACGGTTCACCGGGTGAAGAGCGAGAGGGCGAGACTTCCGGTTACGCCAGCGATTCGGTGGATGTGCCTCAGGCGGGACGAAGTGAGTCCTTCTGAATTTTAATTACCAAATTACATCAAAGAACGACTTACTGTTAGCATAATAAATTTTAAAAAATTATCGATAATAAAAAATTGTATTTAAGGAGTGTTGAGATAAATATAAATAAATATTAAATTTTCGATTGCAGGGAGTTTAGTTGATAGCAAGGCAGCGACCAGAATGGAAATGACGGAAAAAACGTGGCAGAATCCTTATTGCGCCACGCCGGAAAGTTCACTGCCACCCTCAAGGAGACTTTCGCCCGGCAGAATGGGCGAACTTAACAGGCCAAGGTGGGGCAGTGTCTGGAATCAAGACGCGGAGAAAGGCGATCCGTCGGCGCCCTCTTGGCTATCAAGATTAGGACAGTCGAGTCAGGTAATAAGAACTTGTTGAATATCTTTAACACACTTAGACACACTTAAAAATAGACCTGTAACGTAGACTCGGAAATGATCCGACAATAAAAACATCTATATCTAATCTGTATCTGTAATATTTTTTCTGATTTATTGTGAAAAAATTCAAATTGCTGATATATTTCTTTGGAAAGGTCTTGGTGATCAATCACGATAGCGCCAGCAGCCCGGACAGTTCAACGACCTGCTCGACTGGCTCCGATACGAATAAAGTATCTTATCTCCGCGGTCAGAATATTCCGATGGACGCGGATATTCTTCAGGAACGAGAAGCGAGACGACTAAAAGCTCTGGAGTTGCAGAACGCTATCAAACAACAGCTTGAAGAAAAAGATAGACAAAGGAAGGAAGAGAAGGAACGACGGATGAGAGAAGAAAGGATGGAAGATGAGCGAATCAGACGAGAGAGGGAGAAAGAAAGGGAAAGGTAAAACAAATATATATAAGATACGCATAAATATTCTAAAAAAAATGAAAATCGATAAAAATAAGTCTGTCCAAAATTCGACATTATAAATAATAGAGATTTATATTTTACGAAGCATTGTGCGAAATAAATTTTTCTGCCAAAAAATTACGAAGTGATATATTTAATTCATCGCAGATTCGACGAAGAACAACGGTTGCTCCGCGAGAAGGAAGCGGCGAAGCTGAAGAAAGCGCAGGCGATGCGCGAGGTGCTGGAGGCGGCAGAACGGCTCGCGATGGAGGAAAAGAAGAATCGACGGAAACGAGAAGGACAAACCGACGAGGATGTCGACGCGTTGACGCGGTCTTCCAACGAATCACACGCGACTGTGAATGTAAACAACAAACTCGAAGAACAGAATTGTTCGGAGGTACAAAAGCAAAGTGCGAACTTGATCACCAATTATCCCGAGGAGAAACCCAGCCCGAAAGACGTTAAGCAAGCTGACAACTATCAAGAAAGCGAGAATGACAAGGATTTGAGGGAAACCTATTCTCGGCCGAATTACGCGGATAAAACGGAGGAAGCCACGTCGGACTCGAAATCCCTTCAGGTTCCAGTGAGCAAGGACGTGGCGATCGTGCTGAGTGGCAGACTCGAGGAT